CAATATAAAACAATGTTTGAGGAAATGTGTGATCACAAGCGACACTACGATGCTACTGGAACGAGTATTAAACACAGACAGATGTAACATGCTCACAATCCGGGACTTTCCCTTTCCTCGCCACTCGTTATGCGAAACGTTGCTCGTTAAGCAAGTCATTCTTTTACAATTTGTTTTGCTTGTTATGCGAATTACTCGTTATGAGAGGTGCTCGTTAAGCGAGGTTCTACTGTACTTGCCAACAAAGCTCCCACACGGATACCATAGGAAGAGAGAAAGAAGGGGCGTCCAAAAACAACATGGAGACGAACGATGGAAAGTGCCCCGAGTGCAGCATTTCTGACATGGAAAATTGCACTGAAAATCTAACAAGACATGAAAGCATCGAAAGTCCTCTCTGAAGCCTAATGTGCCACTAGGCATAAAGAGAACTGATTGATGATGATGATGAAGGAACGAGTGACACTGCTAACTATTGAAATTTCAGGTGCCAGGTTTAGTTCACTATGTGGTCACTACATTGAATTGCGTAGTATAGTTTCTATTTCTTTTGTTTCACTTTTAATGCAATAGCAGAAAAAAATTTATTTATCATTTAATTTCAACTGTTCCCTAATGCATAAAGGACCCTGAGTGAGTGACGTTCAACCAACATCACAAGGACAGCACAACAAGCGTTAAACACCCAGTGACACAAAGTGTCACTATTCGAATGAGAATCACCCAGGAGTAAGTCTTAGAAACCACCATTCAACCGTTAGGTTATTTTAGGACCCCAGACGACAGCTGGGATGGGGCTTTAAAATAAACACACAATAACTGCGTCCCACATTGTTATTGGAATGGAGTTATAAGGGACGCTAATGTGGCGGATTATTTAAATGTTCTACAACCCAACAAAGAAAAAAAACAACCAAACTACTCTTTCTTAACAAAAAAAAAAATAAAAAAAACTTATTTATACTTAAAATATAACGTGCCATGTACATTAAAAAAAAAAAATATAATAACAAGTAAAAATACAATAAATGACTACCAAAAATCTCTCTATCCTAGTGATTGTTTCTCCATGCGGAAGGACATCTCAATTCCTGCGAGCCAAGACTTACCGTTATTGACCAGCCAATCAGCGGCCACGGCCCGCGTCTTCTGCGCGCGTATTTTTTTCAATAAATAAATCATATTCACAGACGCCACAGAAAGCACCGTCAGTTTCTCTCTGGTAAGTCTGTTTTTCTCTCCATTTTTCCTGTTTTCCGTGAATTGTATATGTTTTCTTGTGAATATACATAACGTAAACTTTAAAGAGCCCCATATTGGAATAATATTGTTAACATTAGACACATCGTTTCTTGTCTTATCGGTTTTTGTTTGAGCGTCCGTCTGCTACCCGCAGACAATTGTCCTTCTTTGCACCCTGGACTCCGTTTTCGACTGTCCTGTGAGCAGTGGGCGAGCAGATCAACAAGGCGATTTGTCGTCAGTACCTTGAACTATCAGGAGCATATAATTATTTTATATTCTCACACTAAAACATATGTTGTAAATTGCATGATTACAAAGTAGATGCGCAGGGGTGAGGAGAGGTTCGAGAAGTCAAGAGGTTTTAGAATTTAAGTAAATAGGTGGTTAATTAAACAGTCTTTCCTCTTGAGCCAAGGACGGTGCATTGACTCTTGAGCAGTTGTCATAGCTCTTCCTGTCTGGAAGTTCGATGTTATCTCTTTTATGCCTTGGATGTTCCGTTAAGCCCATGGTTGAGCATTCCATGATAATGGTTCTACGCGTTAAAAAATTATTATGAATATGATTGAATATGGTCATCTTTATCCTCCTTCACAATCTTAGAATTTATAGTTAAGTTAATGAATGTGTAATTTGTAATGGGCTACATACATGTGACATTTTTTGTTAATGTTGGTAATATATTTTGAAAACGTTATGTCATCCTATTGACAGCTTAAAATAATTATATTGAGTTGAGTCAAGAATTGACATCACAGCACTCGAGGGGGGGGGGGGGGGGAATTTCCATGTGTGCTCTATCCTTATCTTCAGCAGCCAGCGCAGTTTCAATACTGATAGTACTGGTTATTTGTCCATCTTGCCTTTTCTCTGAGTATAGTGAGCCGGACAGACCCTCTGGTTACACCCAGATGCCTCATTCTCTTGCATCTAATGTATATTGACATTTTCCCTCACCTTTTGATTGAAAGGCTGTGAAGAACCATCCCTCCCATGGGAAACAACGAAAAAGATTTATGGGAACAGATGTGGCATATCTGTACTCATTAATCCCTTGTTTCGTGTTCCAGTTTTTTTCTTCACTGAATATGGCTAAAGAATATTGACTGCTTTTTTTTTTGTTTTTTTCGAAGCTATCTTTGTTATATGTTAGGTATTTTCATGAAATTTCTAAGATTCTATGTTCAAAGAATTATGGAAAGATAAGTTGGGTGGAGTGAGTACTGATACTGTTTTTTCTTTGTAGTCACTAGTCTGTAGGAAAATTAGGCTATCCTCCGAATAACTTTCCCAAATTATCAAGGCCAAAAATATTCCCTAACAGGGCCTCAGTCACGTGTCAGTTGTGGACTTCCGGCGTCTTACATTGCGCACTTCTAGCCACTTCCGCCACCGCTGAGAGTATCCCCCACGCCGCATGAGCGGCGTGGATTGGTGCTAAACTAGATAGCTGGGACTCACGAGCAGCAGCTACCGCATATCCTTCAGCTTCCTTCATTTTATTTGCTCGTGAGTCCCGTGGCAGAAGTCACTGGAAGGGCGCAATTGACACATGACTGAGGCAGTGTTAGGGTATATTTTCGGCCTCTATAATATGGGACCGTTATTCGGAGGATAACCGAAAATCATAAGCAGAGGCAGCGCTTAAATTTCTTTCGCCATAATAGACGAATAATAAGACTATTTATGGTCAACTTTAGACATTTTCAAAATTGTATCTTTATGAAAATAGCTACTAAATAGGGAAACGCTTTGATAAAACATTTCTAATTGTTTTGAAATTCCATCTTACTGTGGCATCCATTGCAATGAAAGGGTCAGGCTCTCCTTTAAAACACGGCCGGTTAGTCGGAGTTCAGTCCCTTTGCTGCAGTGCAATTACGGAGTGGAAAAGAGGGAACGAAACAAATGACATAATTACTGTGTGTTGGCGATAGACAGTGCCCTGCTGTCACACGGCTAGGGTTTGGGTTAGGGTTTGGTTTAGAGGTATGGTTAGGGTAGGGTTAGGGTAACACATGTAACGTCGAGTACTTACCATAATGACGGCCACTATATCTGATAATTTTGACACAGGAGTTGCAAATAACAGCCGAAAATGTGCTGCTTGCGGCAGGTGTCACATCTACGGCCACTAAGTCTTGCGTTGCAAGAACGCGGTCGCTAATGTGAGTCGCAGCGCGTGGTCTACGAGTCTTGCGTCGCAAGAGCGCGGTCGCTGTGAGTCGCAGCGCGTGGTCTAGCTCTAGCAGCCATGTCGACAGCACTTTGTTTTGTGATTCGTGCCTTCTCCACTCCGTAATTGCACTGTAGCCAGGGGACTGAACTCCGACTAACTGGCCGTAGTTTAAAGGAGAACCAAGGGTCGTAATGCTTTAGCAAAAGAAGACAGAATAAAAAAAAAAAAAACAGAAAAACAGTTTGCCAGCCACTAATTTTTATCAGAAGTCAAACCCCCTCATTAAGAGAAAATCAGAAACTGGAAATTAATCACTGGATTTTAATTGTAAAAAAAAATATTTTGGACACCTAAATAAGTGAGTCACTATTGTTTGCTTGTGAACTGGGCATATTAGGCTCAACAAACACTCATGCAATTTAGGTATGAGTCAGATAGCTCTCTGCCAGTGTCCGTGAGCCGAACAGACCCTTGGAACATGTCCTGCAAAACTGTCCTCTCCTGTATGAGTAGCAAAGCAATCTGTGACTATGGCCACTAAGCCTGACAACTAAGCTTTGAGGAAACTGAAGAGATCTTGAGCTGATATCCCACCTTTATGGCCTTTAGTGGATTTAGCATATGACCTGAGATCACTGAAGAAGAAGTGTTAAAATTAAATCTTCAGTGTCAACTAAAATAAGATATTGCATTTGCAGGTTAATTTGTGACCACGGCCCCCCAAAAAAAACTTAAAAAAATGGGAAACAGATTAGTGCTGATAAATTAGGGGTTGATGGGGATAACAATGCTCCAATAAAGTAAACAATATGGTAATGGCTAAGAAGATAAGTAATATTATGGCAAAAATAAGGACTACAAATTTAAAATAATGGTTGTTGTTATGGGAATGTGACAAGGATGATGAAGCTGGTGGTGGTGATCAGTGCATCTTCAACCTTAGAGCATGAGGAATTTCATGGGGGGGGGGGGGGGGGTGTCAAGCAATTTAGGAAGTCAGTGCATTTGTACTTGTAATAATTCGTTATATTTTTTTTTTTCATTAAAATAAATAATCAAAATATTTTTCAAACTATTAAAATTATTATAATTCAAAAAGCCAAAGACCATTTTGTGATAACACCTGCACTTAATTACAACAATTCCTCCTCTTTTTGTCCCCATTCTATGGGTGGTGGGGGAAAGGGGTCTTGTCATATACTTATGTTTGGTACCACCTGAACAAAGATGGAGACCCCTGAGATAGATGAAGACCCCTGAGATAGATGATCACAGATGTGATGATGAAAAGGAAAATTAAGATGCTCATAGACAGGTTGATGTTAAAAAAAAAATATTTTTGTGTTGAAATTCATAAATTTATTGATGATACAGCTGTTCTTTGCATCATAATGCCAGAATGTCCTAACATCTTCTGTTTCTGCATCTCTTTCCCTCCAGCTGATCGTCCTTTTCACACAGTGTGACCCTATAAATGTGGGTATTCCTCTTTACACAGTGTGCCCTATGATTGTGGGTTTTCATCTTTACACAGTGTGCCCTTTGAATGTGGTTTTTCCTCTTCATACGGTGTGCCCTATGTATGTGGGTTTTCCTCTTCACACCGCTGTACCCTATGTATGTGGGTATTCCTCTTTACACAGTGTGCCCTATGAATGTGGGTATTCCTCTTTACACAGTGTGCCCTATGAATGTGGGTATTCCTCTTTACACAGTGTGCCCTATGAATGTGGGTATTCCTCTTTACACAGTGTGCCATATAAATGTGGGTATTCCTCTTTACACAGTGTGCCCTATGAATGTGGGTATTCCTCTTTACACAGTGTGCCCTATGAATGTGGGTATTCCTCTTTACACAGTGTGCCCTATGAATGTGGGTATTCCTCTTTACACAGTGTGCCCTATGAATGTGGGTATTCCTCTTTACACAGTGTGCCCTATGAATGTGGGTATTCCTCTTTACACAGTGTGCCCTATAAATGTGGGTATTCCTCTTTACACAGTGTGCCCTATGAATGTGGGTATTCCTCTTTACACAGTGTGCCCTATGAATGTGGGTATTCCTCTTTACACAGTGTGCCCTATAAATGTGGGTATTCCTCTTTACACAGTGTGCCCTATGAATATGGGTTTTCATCTTCACACAGTGTGCCCTTTGAATGTTGTTTTCCTCATTACACAGTGTGCCCTGTAAATTTGGTTTTTCCTACTCACACGGTGTGCCCTGTGAATGTGAGTTTTCCTCTTCACACAGTGCCCTATGAATGTGGGTTTTCCTCTTCACACAGTGTGCCCTATGAATGTGGGTTTTCCTCTTCACACAGCTGTACCCTATGAATGTGGGTTTTCATCTTCACACGGTTTGCCCTATGAATGTGGGTTTTCCTCTTCACACAGTGTGCCCTATGAATGTGAGCTTTCCTCTTTACACAGTGTGCCCTATGAATGTGGGTTTTCCTCTTCACACAGTGTGCCCTTTGAATGTGGGTTTTCATCTTCACATAGTGTGCCCTATGAATGTGAGTTTTCCTCTTTACAGTGTGACCTGTAAATGTGGGTTTTCCTCTTCACATGCTGTGCGCTATGAATGTGGGTTTTCCTCTTCACACCGGTGTGCCCTATGAATGTGGGTTTTCCTCTTCACACAGTGTGCCCTATGAATGTGGGTTTTCCTCTTCACACAGTGTGCCCTATGAATGTGGGTTTTCCTCTTCACACAGTGTGCCCTATGAATGTGAGTTTTTTGTGTTTGTTTCTTGACTTTTTCTTTTGCCAGTTATAATAATAAACTGGGTAATATCAGGAGGTTGACACAGTGGCTTAAAAAAAACAACTGCTAAATAAGCTGATAATGGTTGAAAAAAAGATCAACTGTAAAGAATGAGAAGGACAAGGAGAACAATTCAGTGCTCCCATACAGCGGTCCTTTTTTTTTTTTTTCTGCCATCTTCCGCAACTGCCACCATGCCCACCCACATTTTATTGTATGGAAAGAGCTGCTGTGGTAATCATCTGCTTTCAGATTGCACCAACTCCTTGTGTTGCCTATGATGTTGTCAGTGACATGCTGGCATTTATATAGTATTGTAGCCATTTCAATAATATATTACTTCATAAAGGTCTGCGTTCTGTTATGTTTATGCTGTTTGCTATGTTTCTGATCATCTTATAACTTATGTTTTTTATTGCCAAATCAGCTCCTTAGCTTTTTAAAACATGGATTGTACACTGTAAATTTTCTTTTTTGTTTCTTTTGATGTATTGTTATTGTTATCACTCCCTTTAGACAAATAAATTAAATTGTATGTATGATCTATATCAGATTTAAAATCAGGGGCTTATATGTGGATATTTTAAACTCCTTATCTTAGTTTTCATTGGTTTTATTCATATATTCCTTTGTGTGTATTTCATTTATTATCTCACACAAATGTGGCTTGTCATTTCCACTGGTTGTTACCCTACTTCAGGAGCTGGTAATTCTATCCCTTATCATTTTGCCCCTGAATGCCCAGAGCCCTTTGGGTGATGATTCACCAGAGCCGGCATGGATCAATATTTGGTGCTTATGTATTCTTGTAGCCAGCAGTTTTGGTTAAGGCTGGTTGGTGTCTCAGTGCTGGAGCACTGTGCTGCCTGCAGATAAACTCTCTCTCTCTCTTTCTCTCTCTCAACTCCCATTTTTTGTTTCTTCTTTCCACCACCCCTTCTTTCCTGTTCTTTCTTCCCCCCCCCCCCTCTCCCTCTTCCCCCTCTCAAGTCTTTTCTTTTTTTTCGTCCCCCACTCTTTTTTTCTTTCCCTTCTCTTCCTCTCTCTCTTATCATTTTTTCTTGCTCTCTTCTCCCACCATGTTTTAAGTTTCTCTTCTTTCCCCTTCCCTAACACCCATTCTTTCCTGTAATCTATCCCGTCCCCTGCTCTCTCTCCCTCTGTCTGTCTGTCTGTCTCTCTCTCTCTCTCTCTCTCTATCTATCTATCTCTCTCCTCTCTCTCTCTCTCTCTCTCTCTCTCACACACACACAGAGCTGTCTAGGTAGAATTAGTTTGGCTTTATTTGCATATGTCCTTATCTGCATGACCATGATTGTAACTGACTTTCTGAGAACACTGCACATTTTATGCATTTCTAAGTTAATATTTAACATACTTCTGTGTGACAAGTTAATAACAGTTGGCCTGTAACATTGGCATTCATTATTGATTCTGGTTTAATTATATTTCAATATGCATCTCTCTTTTTTAGAAGTTATTGACAAGCTGTACTTTTGGAGATATGTTTTCTCCCAGCCGGTGTCTGTTTGTCTGCCTCTCCTCTTCCCTTCCGCCTGTTATCTCCTCTTCCCCCACTCACTCCCTCAGTGGTTGCATCTCAGAGCCTGACATTGAAGAGCCGATGATTCATTTCATTGATTGGATGACTAAGGAGAGTTAACCATATTTGAAGTCTCTCTCTCTCTCTCTCTCTCTCTTCTCTCTTTCCTTCCCTCTCAGATTCCTTCATACAGAATGATTGTAATTACTAAAATTTTTTCCTGCTGTTTGTGCTGTTCAGTGCTCTTTCATTCTTAGAAGCTACTATTGTCATATTCACATGCTTTTCTTTTTGAGTGTTTATATTCAACATTTGTTATTTTAACAGAGATAAAATCAACTGTGTGGTAATGTTTTCATCGTATATTCTGGCAACCCTGTGCCAATTCTCTAGCCTTGTATAAGTTTTGAGCAAAGTATTGATTATTGTATTTGGAATATCAGCATACTAGTACATGTCTAGGTTTTGGAGATATTTGAAAGGGAAAGCTCTTGCTTTTTCCACTGTATCCATAAAATTGATTTTATTGCGGATATATCCAGTTCTCTTGTACTGTGTTACAAATTCAGATGTTTGTATTTTCTTTTTTTTTTCTTTCAAATCTACACTGTTCGGGGGGGGGGGATGGGGGGGGGGGGGGGGGGGGGGGGGGGGGGCTGCTCACTAAGAAAGATCAGGTGCTGCAAACCACAACATTGTGCCATTTGAGATGAATTCAGAAGAAAAATATGTGTGCGCGTGTGCACACACACACACACACACAATATGAACATTTTGTATGGATGTTGAAATGCAGGCTTCTGACATCTTTTTCTTAGCATTCACTGGCTGTACTCTGGTGGGACCCGAATTCTGTGTGCACGTCTGTTTTTACAGAACTGTGTACTTATTTGCAGACTATTTGTTCCTTCCTGCTTAGGCAGATGCTGTTTGACTTTGGAGGACAATTCCTAATTAGTCCACCTTATACAGTAGGCTTGTTAGGGAGCAGGGGGGGTCTATTCATTCTTTTCCAAAATGGGGCCGCTGTACCCAGATGGGAAGCTTCTAACAGTTGTTCATTTTAAGGAGATTACATTTTGCTAACATTGTAGGATGCAAGCACAGGGGTAACATTTATGTGGTTACCATTCTTGAGCATGTGGTCTGAATCAATAACTACCCTGACACGCATTTTACTGTCTGGAGCTCAGCCAGAACTGTTATTGATCAGATGACATCACTCCTGGTAGTTTGTCTTGGGTCAGCCTGGCATGACGCTCCCCTGTTTCACTTCTCTGTAGTCAGTCTGGGCTGTCACTGGTTGGGATGATGTCTCTCTCATAGGTAGTGTCCTCTACCTGGTCTTTGCCTTGTTCTTGTTGTTTCCAGAAAAATGTTTGAATATACCTATAACTGTTAAATGTACTCTCTTTCAGGAGTCGTCTGATCAGCAAGTGCAGCATTTGTAGTTTTAGTCACAGGACAAGAATGGCAGCTGGTAAGTGATGCAATTATTGTAATAAATGTTTATGTAATAGTGTACTTTAAATACTAAAAGTTTGTATTGTATAATTAAAATAATGAAGCTATTATTGAAATACATCTTTTATTCTTCATATCATAGATCTCTTCACATTTGGTACACCTACATCTAGTTCTGTTTTTTTTTTTTCTTTCTGGTAACAGGTGGATTACGATCCTTTCATCAGCAGATTGTTTTGTGGTTTTCTCTTTGAAATTTTTGCTTTTTGTTTTTAAACATAATGTCACTATTTAGGTTATACCTCTATTTTATAAAATTCTTGTAACTTTGGTTTTCAAATTGTTTAAAAAAAATAATAATAATGTTGCCTTCATTTGTGTGCAGTGAAACATGTTACTTGAGCGCACTAGATTCCCAACAACCCAAAAGCCTAAGACAACAGTTAAAGTCTTCCAGATTGTTGTTACGGTCAAGAGGATCAACTTCGTTGCACAGGGTTTGATCCCATATGGTTCGACTAGCCGCCTCTTAAGAGTGCAGCACAAAGCACAAACTCCTTAGCTTCAGCAACAGTCCCCAGGGATCTCTGTAAAAACTGCACTCATGAACTGAACAGTGCAGTCTGAAATGAACCCATGACTTTCAGAGCACGAGGCAAACAGCTTGATTCCGTTGCCACAGAGACCCCCTAGATTATTCTCAGTCGACCAACAATTTTAAATGCACATGAAATCTTTTTTTGTTTCCTGGGTTGAAAATGTGTGTAATGCAGTCTGTATCAGTGTATCTAATGTTTGTGCCTTTCCTTCACTGCTGCTCATTTGGGAATTAAAGTGTGCAGTTTGTTCAGTTTTCTTTGTATGAGGGAGCCAATAAAAAAGAAAACTGTCCAGCCTCGCGTACATCCAAATCGACAAGCATATGATGCTATTGTTGTTTGGACGGGTAAAGGTAACATTGATCGTTCGATTTTGAAACATTCATATTGTGCTTGTTGTATGTTGTCATATTTTTAGTTGGTTTTTGCATAATTCTACAGGTATGTCAGAACTTAAGATTATTTGTGTCCATGTTTAAACTAGAGCGAAATGTTTTCAATAAATGCTGTGTTTTTTTTTTTTTTTGGTTCACCAGAAACTGTGGCAAAGTTTGTTTTTTTATCAAACAAAAATACTTTTAATTCACTTAACCCACTGACCACCGAGCCCGTTAACCCTTGCATTTTTTCAGATACTACATATTTGAGTGTGTACTTAAAATGCCATAGCTTCACAGCTATTTAACATCCACTTATCAAATTTTGTATTTTTGTACAAAAATGAAATGGAGAACAAATTTCAAGAAACAAATTGTGTTTATTTTGTTGTACATCATTAACATTATGTGGGTTGGGAATTGGTGGGAAAAGGCAGCTGAAAAATCTTTTATCGGACAATAATATAGACTAACAAAAATGCCATAATTTCACAACCGTTCAATATACACTCAAATTTTGTATTTTTGCACCTAATTGAATGGAGAACAAATTGCATGAAAAAAAATGGGTTTTGAAATGGTCATTTGACATTATAATGGGGCTGTAGATATGGTGCCCAATAAAATTTTAAAAGACAGCTAAAACATTTGTTATTTGACAACAGTATAGACCAGTGATTCCGAAACTGTGCGCCACAACCTCTTCACAGGGGCGCCCTGAAATATTCAGATAAAGTTTTTTTTTTTTCTTACATACGAATAGTCATACTTTTACACTGGTATAGACCAAATTTTATGACAAATAAAACATGGAATTCTATTGTTTTATCATTTTAGAAAATGGTATGCAATTCCATATCAGTGCAGCCAAAGATAGGAATTTAAACCCCTCGCATTTATCAAATTTTAAAGCCAAAATATTTCAATGGGAATGGTACAGTTCATAGCATCATTGAGTACAAAGTGGCACCTGACATTCCCTACAAGGTCCTTTAGTGGCCCATTTTATTTTCTGGGTTTTTACGTTGATCTTTTTCTACACACACTGTGCACCTTCTTCTGTAAATGGAGGTACTTCAGGAAAGCCTTGCAAACCACACTGCCCGTCATAAGCCAGTTGGGGATGCAGGGTTGGCAAATCTTCCCCGGATTCTGCAGATCATGATGATGATTCTGTGTCAAAAATAGCATTGATATCTTTGTCATTTGCAGGCTCAGACACAATATCTACAAAATCTACAGGCTCTGAATGAATACTTTCACTAGAACTATCAGAAACTGCTGTACTACTACTGTTTTACTGTCTGTGATGTTTTTTGATAGCACTTCTTTAGATTTGTCAGTCATCATAATTGTCAGAGCCACCAGATTGTTCAGTAATATCTTCACCTTCAGTGTTCTGAAGAAAAATCAGATCAAGATAATCACGCGCAGCAACTGAAAAATGATAAGTATGACCACTACAGTTCTTTTGAGAATTTGGCGCCATGGTATGGGTACTCATAATGAAAATTCATCAGAAATTTACTATAAGCCCTATGGAGTTGTTTCCCATAATGAAATATAGAGAAAAGAATGGGTTTTAAGCTTTAACCAAATTCATTGCAAAAAATGCGATTTTTAACATGGCGGTGAGCCTCCAAAGTTTTGATTGCAAGGGTTGCGATCATGGTAGTCAGGCGTAAACGCTGTTTGATTGCATGAGTGATGGTGGTTAGTCAGTTGGTTAATCAGTACCAAGAAAAGTATCTTATGTTTATTATATTGAATTACACAATGTGCTTTTCTTAACTCAGTATACCCCATTATGTTGTTTATAGCAATCCATTCATTCATTCCCAGTTTCAACTCAGTCTTGCATATTAACAGATATAAACAGTACAGTAATAGTGTTTAGTTAATAGAACCAGTTAAAATGTAATCCGGAAGTCAACCTCTCAGCTGACTATGGTTCCCATGTCTCTGATCACAGATAATGGACTCGTTATATGCCGGGTATATTTTTATTTTGACACAATAATTAAACTTTTAATAACTCATAAGGAAAAATAATCAGAAGTTCTGTAAAGATTTGAGATTAAATTAATTACTGAATGCTGTTAGAGAAATATTGTTTCCTGACATTTCTACTTTTTCACTGCCAAATTAGTCATAGTAATGAATTTCATTGGTGGTTAATGGTTGATTTAAAATAGGCAAGGTTTTGACACTGCTTTATTTGCAGGTTCTTTGTGAGTGTGCATAAATATATCATGTTGTATGTATGAATAATGAACGTCTATAATTTTTTTGCTTTTATTTCAGTCGCTGAATAGTTTGTGTGCTTTTTTATCCTCTTTAATTAGTGTAAGGAAAATTAAATTTCTGTCTGTTGTCAGCTAAATTGTGTTAATAAATTTGCTTCACTGCTGTGAGTAGAAAACCCTAGCGTAATAAATATTTGTACAGTAAATTGTTTCATACTGATAGGTATGAAGTGGTGCAGCGCAATATCTTTTATATTGTTTGTTGTGTGCCACACTAAACATCCCAGGCATCACTCGCTCAGTGAAAAAAAAAATATTTATGGTGGAGTGGGTTCGATCAGCCTGCTTTCTGTGAAGCCTTGGTTATATTTAAGATTGGTTTGTTCTTTTTTCATTGATGTTTGTTTCGTCTTTGTGGCATATAGGTTCTGCCCAGAATGGCTTGGTCAGCCATAGCCTCAACGATCGCACTTCTAATCTTTTGATAGGCTACGCTTCTGATTCTAAGATAGAGCTTTTTGTGACTTTCATTGACAGAGATCTGTTGCAGAATGTGCTTTATTTTCACACAAAAATACAGTAAACCCACGTTTAAAAAAATTCCAAAGGCCAGAAAATAGAGTTCGTGTTACCAGGAAAAAAGGGCTCTAACCAGGGACATATAATAACACATTCCTATAAAAAAAATTTTCGTGTCGAGTGTTTTTCTAAAGTGAGTTTTTGTTAAAGATTTTACGAGTAATACAAAGTTAATTGTACCAACTAAAAATAAATTGCAAGTTTCACAATCTGTGATTCTTCTTTTTTTTGCTTTTCTAGACCCCAGTGGAGCATAAGCCCTCAACCAACTCACGCCAAATCATTCTATCTTTTGCTATCTCATGCAGCTCTCCCCATGTCCTCCCCATCTTCCCAACTTCATTATCCAGCTCCCTTCTTCGTATGTTTGTTTTTGTGGCCTTCCTTTATTCCTATGCCACTGTGGGTTCCAGTGCAGAGACATTCTAGTTATATTGTTCTCTGGTTTTCTTAATGTGTGTCCTATCCAGTGCCAGCGCCTTTTCTTCACCTCTTGGTCCACTGAAGCTTGCTTAGTTCTCTCCCAAAGCTCTACACTAGTGATTCTATCATACCATTTAATTCCCTCTATTCTGCGCAGGCACCAGTTAATGAATGTTTGTAGTTTATTAGTAATTTCCTTAGTTGTTCTCCATGTTTCCGCTCCATACAAAAGTACTGATTTGACATTGGAATAAAAAAAATTTAAGTTTAGTATTTCTTTTAATTTCTTTTTACCTCCACTAATTCCCCAATGCTATGAAAGCTGCTCTTGCTTTTTGTATTATTTTAATATCTATCAGTTCCCCCATCTTTATCTACATAACTGCCCAAATACATGTAAAACTCTTAAGTCTTGGAGTGAGGTGCCTTAAGAGAAATATTACTATTGCCTGATTTATTCTCATTATCTTTGTCTTTCCTTTATTGATTTTCAGACCTAGCTGCTGTGATCTCACATCAGGTATATTTAATTTATCTTGCTTCTGATTCTGTGAGTGGGACAGAAGATAAATATCATCAGCGTCCAGATAATCAAGCTGTTTTGTAGGTGTCCACTTAATTCCATTCTTGGTGTTAGCAGTTACTGTCTTCGTAATCCAGTCTATTGCCAGTAAAATTAGGAGAGGCGACAAAAGACATCTCTGTCGCCATCTCTGTCGCACAGTTTTTATTTCAAATTATAACTTCCCTCATGAAGAATTCGACATTTCATGTCTTTAAGTCTTTACTAAGTAAAAAAAATTTCTGTGGGATTCCATATTGCCCCATCAATTTTTCAGAGAGATTCCCTATCAATGCTGTCAAATGCTTTTTCATAGTCTATGAATCCAGTGTAAAGTTGTTAGTTCAGTTCAATGCTTTGTTCTTTTATAAAACGTAATGTGGCTATCTGGTCCGTACTGGATCTCTTTGACCAAAAACCTGCCTGTTCATCTCTTAGCTTTTTATCAATAGCATCTTTTGATCTTTCCAAATTAATTCTATAGGTTTTACACTCCTCTAGATTACCTTGTTGTTGGGGGGGGGGGGGGGGGATATCCTTCTCTCCAGTCTGCTGGTATTTCTTCGGTCTTAGAATTTACTAAATAATCTATGTAGCAATTTCGTTGTGTTTATGTTGGCCCTAATAGCATCTGCTAGGATACCATCTGGACCTGCTGCCTTTCCTTCTTTGAGATGGTATTTCACAGTTGATATCCAGTTCCATTTCCTAAGGCTGGATATCTGGAGGAACTTCTTGGCCTAGTCTATTTAGAAGTATTTAAAAATATTCAGCCTATCTGTCCATTTTATCTTTAGTGTAAGTACCTTTCCATGACTTTTTGATTGATCCATTTGGTTGACTATATTTTACCTACTAATTTTCTTGTGTTACTGTAAAGTTCTCTGAGGTTTACTTTTGCTGCTGTGGTTCAATTACCCATAAACATCTATCATATTTATTGGTCTGCCTTCATACATTGAACCATGTAAACTGGGCTAGCTTCTGCAGTCAGGTAATGTCTTCCTAGGGAAGGTTCCAGGGCAAAAGAATTGACCCACTGCCTCCCGACAACCATTCTATCCCAATAATCCACCCAAATATGGAAAATCTACAAGTGAAAGGACAGCCTGATACTTCAGGGGGTGGTAGATGAACGTTAAGTAAGTTAGTAATTTGGCATTTCCTTTTTGTGTGCAGCTTTCAGTTTTGTGAGCTTGTTGTGCTGTTTTTTGGTGTGTATTTTTTCTGTGTGTTTGGTGCAATTGTGAGAATGCAGTTTGTGGGTGTTTTCTAGTTTTTTGCAGTGGACGAGGACCTAGACTGCAAACAGTCGTGGGACTTAGGCTAGTCTCATGGGACGTATGTGGGTTAGGGCCAGTTGTAGATGTGTTTTGGGGTCGTTAAAAGCTCCTTGTCAGGATGCTGCTAATTCCAGGAAATTCATGGCGATGAAGACTGAACACAAGACACTGGAGAGACTCTGCCGGAAGATGAAACGCGCCAAAACCTTGGCAACGCGTTGGAAGAGACACAGAAAATATTGGACTGTCCTGTGACGTTGTTTGGGGTGAATTATTGGGATAGAACCTAAAAGGCGAATTAGGCGTGCTTTCTTTTATGATGAACAACCACGACTTTCCTCCAGAGTTTACAGCCGGTGAACACTAACAAGTTAATTTCTGTGTACTTTTGTAAAACACAGAATCATTAATGCATTGAGGCCTGTTACATCAGATTCAAATGCATAATCTAAAATCCTTCACAAGCAGAGAGAATTGAGAATGTTTTTTATATGCTTTCCTCTTTGTTATTGCATGATTGTTTTCATAGCACTGTTTATTCTTAGTGCTGCATCTCATTTGTGTGCCACTGAAAGTTTCCTCTCTCCATTTAATAGACAATAGACACTTGTTTCTAGTTTTGTGATGAGTGTGGTTTTGTTGAAATTATCCAAGCAAGCTGTGTAGTAATTTATATAATGTCAGTTTGTTATTTTTGTGCAATGGCATGAAATTTATTTTCTTGCCATTGTCCGATAAGCATTTTTCATGGCTATTATATTATTTCCTCATACGTGTATATATTGCTAGTTCCTGCTTCAGATTTTTGATGTTTTGTTTCCTTTCACTCACAGAGCCTGAGCACCACATGTTTGTGCATTGAATAAGTTTGCAGGTAGTAAAGACATCTTATAACTATTGACAATTATTTCCATCTCGCCACAGCCCCATTTTGGTGGTGGGGGAAATAGACCCACTGCTCTCCTTTCGATCATGTCGTAAAAGCAGTTTGCTGAAATTTGATGTGTTTGATGTGGTTTAAAGGCATCAATATCACAGCCTAGCTTTAAGCCACATAATTCCACCCATTTTTTTAGAATAAACGCAGAAAGAGTAAACACTAGACTTGTGACGGTCATGATCCATTTATCATTGGTGGCTACTCTATTCCTGAACTTCACTTTGCAGATGACACAGTCCTCCTTTCGAACAGTGTTAAGGAAATAGAATATTTAATCATGTCTGTCCAACACCACAGTAAAGATAAAAATCCATTCTTGAAAAAAAAAATTTATAATAATAATTTCCACAGACAAAACTGGCTGACACCCAAAATTAATAAATGATGAAGAAATAGAAATTGTTGCAAACTTTAAATTCTAGGCTCCATAAAAAATAGCAGTGGAGACTGTTCAACAGCAGACAAAGGGGGATGGCTATAGCAATACACACATTAAGCATTAAAAGTCTATGGTAAGCACTGGCAAGGACATCGACAGTAAAATTTTGAGAGCATGCATTTTCTCTGTAGCAACATACTAATGCGAGTCATGGGCTACCTACCAGTTCTTAAGAAAGAAAATAGGGGCTTTTGAGCTGTAATGGTACAGAAAGATTCTCAGAATACCATGGACAAAGAAGAGAAGAAATACTGACAATTAAAAAAAATCTGAGCATCAAGAAAGATTGGCTAATAAACAGCATCTTGTCTTGAAAGCTGAAATATTTTGGTCATATCAAGCACCATGATTCATGGCAGATTGGAAAATAATAAAAGCAGAAGGCATGGTACCAGGAAGGAGGGGCAGGCACCAAGGGTGCAAGATATATGTGATTCTTGCATTTGAAAGTGCACAAGGCCAGGAGAGTTGCCAAGAGACAGTGTTTTTTTCTCTCTCTCTCTCAGGCAGACCGTGATTAGAGCGACGTTCTACCTAGGACCTGCTACGTGATCATGAAAGGCATAAGATTTCCATCTTGCTATAAACATGCTAATTAGACTTTACTTGTATTGATAGCTTTAGTTTGTCATTTCATTAACCTTTCGCAGTTGGTAATCATTATAAAAGCACAATTGATTGCCTGCCCTAGTTCTTTGTATCTGTTGCGCCTGATAAATTACAACACACAGACAAAATGTCAGACTGTAAATTGTGCAGTTTGTTTATAAGTTTTTTCTTTGTGTGTAGTGAATCAATAATGAACATTTTAATATTGTAGTACATTTTTCTCCCTAAGTTGATAATGTGTCAGTGTAATGTCAGATATTCATATGGGGACAATATTACTGCTTACAAAACTGAAATTAGTGTTTGAAGTAAATGTGGTGTATTTATGTTACAGAAAACCAGAAGCCCAAACCAGGAGGTATCAGCTTTGATGTGATTCTGAAACCTGCCACAGTGGAGAGTGTGAGATCCCCATTGCAGCTGTCTCCAAATGGTGTTAAAAAGAGAGAACTGTCGCAGGAACAGATTGAAAATAAGCTCAAGAGGGCTGAAGAACGTCGAAGTGTAAGTGTGCACTGTTGCGTTTAGGCAGTGAAATACACATCTTTACCAGGGACACTTTCAGTGTCATAAGTAGTCAGTAGTCCCAGTGAAAATGTATGCTACTTTCAAAGACAACATATATTTTTCTGTGTTTCATTATGTAGCCAGATTTCTTTGGTGTGCTCATTTCAAACATAAAAGATTTAAAACACTGTGTGTTGCCTAATTGACATGCATGGACAATAGCTTCTTCTGGGTTTGACATGAGCCATGCTAAACATTTCCATCTGAGTCACAAACAGGACTGTGCATCTGTGGTTGCTGCTGGTCCCCTACAGCTTGTCTTTTAGTGTAGCTTTGTTGGGCCTGATCTCCCAGCTCTGCAGTTATAGGGCAGTCCTGAAGTACATGCTCAGGAGTTGGTCTGCTTGCTCTGCATTCACATGTGGCAGATTCTTTTATGCCTATTTTGTAGTGGTTTGCTGTGAGATCGCAGTGTCCATTTTAAAGCCCAAAAAATTGTCTGTTCTTTCCTGTTACAATTCTTTATGCTGTCACTCTCCAGTCTGTAGTCTGTGTTCTGCCTTTTTCTCTTCCCTGAAGGACTACTTTAGGACTTGTTTTTTTTATTTTTTTATTTTGTGTGTCTCTGTATCTGTGTGGTGGAGGAGATTGTGTAACATTGCTCCCAGCTGTTGTGAGCTCATCTGTCTCATTTCCTGGAACACCACAGTTAGTTGATATCCACTGTAGGACCAGTTCTGCTTCCATGGAAAGCAAGGGTAAACAACTAACATCACTAGTGTTTCTTGGGATGGGCACATTTGCTTAGAACTTTTGGGCTCTCCTTGCAGATTTGGCCGGCAAGCTGGACGGCGTCGGTCGGCTTAGTGGGAGTTATGTCCCTTCGCCAAACTCAAAACAAGCCACGGAAAAAGTCACGAATCAAATGACATACTTACCTATCATCATCCGGGTGCGTGAAGGGTTGCGTACGGTTGCGTCTAGTGTTACCTATCATCCTACGGTTGCGTGTAGGGCTGCTTATTGCGTGTAGGTTGGTTGTTTGCGTAAGATGAGGGTTAGGGTTATGGGTTAGGGTTATGGTTAGATGTGAAAATTTTCACGTAGGAGGTCGAAATAGTGGCCGACAATCTGACGCTTGTGGGAGTGGCGCCACTGAAACTCTGCCAAATATGACGCCAATAGCGGGCGGCTGGTGCCCAGTCGCTGGCGAATTGTTCGTTTCACTAGCATCCACAGGCCTTCGATTGTTTGTGTGTGTTTGTGACTGTGCGCGACGTCGACGAAGTTGGTCTGGTGGACTACTACCTCGTGCAGATAGATGCCATGCCTTAAGTTTGCGACGTTGCTGTAGCCTCGCCAAGCGTCAGTCACGATGGTCGTTCCTGGCGGTACGTGATCTCTTTTGATCCTCTCCAATGTCGCCGCATCTCGTTTTTGCACAAGCTCCAAGTAGCAACGGCCAGTCTCACGCTCTACTAGCCCTACGACCCAACGACCGTGACGGATGCGACCGCGCTGATACTTTCGTCGGAAGAAGTAGCTCTCGTCTACTTCGACCACGATAGATCTGCCGGTCTCATCGAGTCCTCCCAGCTCCACGGTGTGTCTCAACATCCATTTATAGCATTCCTGACGGAAATAATTGTTGTAGTTGACAATGGTGGACCAGCACATGAGTCTCTCGAAGACCATGACAATCGCTGAACTTACGCCGGAGAGCCAGTAGTACATCATCGTGACTATTTTCTCGGTCGGCATGTCGCTTTTGGCGAAAAAGGACCCCATGCGAACGCTACACCGAGTATCACAGCGATGACAACGCCAACCGTATCTGTCGCTACAGTGCTGGCGAGGCGCTAGCGCATAGGTCAGTTGCACGAGCTGCACAGTTGCATATTCCTTATAAGACTATGCTCAGCTAGCCACCGCAACCACGCATACTTATCAGACATTAATGCATACAGATCTGCAGGAGTTACGTCCGTGGCAACTAAGTCGTGCGTCGCAAGAACGTTGTTGGTTATGTGTGTGGGAGCTCTCTGTCTAACTGCCATTTTGATGATGTTGTTTGATTCGTGACTACTTTTTCCGCGACTTGTTTTGAGTTTGGCGAAGGGACATAACTCCCACTAAGCCGACCGACGCCGTACAACTTGCCGGCCAAATCTGCAAGGAGAGCCAACTTTTGTTTATATCGAATGATAAATTTGCTAGTTTGTTTATCGCCTGTGAAGTCAGACATGTATGGGGGGGGGGGGGGGGGGGGTCTGACTGAACTGGTAGCAGAGATTTATCTGGAAACTTTAAGGTGGCTGATATATTAATCAAAAAGCATGTGAGGCTGCAGGACCAGGGTTTGCAGTCGCTAACACCTTGAGGCACATCTTCAAAATGCTACCTATTAATCTTCTTCTTCAGCATTCCGAGCCCTTGATGTTCATTGCTGCAGATATCACCCGCCTCCATTCATCTCTCTGTTTGGCCTTCTCTTTCCGGTTGGTAACACTGTTTGCAGGTCTGTCTGGATATTCTCTCCATTGTCTTCTTGGTCTAGACCATTCATCTCCCTGGTGTATACAGTTTTTACTTCTCTGTCATCTGACATTCTTTTAATATGCCCCAACCATATCAGTCTGTTAGCTCTCATGATGCCAGTGATCAGTGGTGATTTCAACAGATTACCTATTAATAGAGTTGTTAATTTGGTCATAGTCCTAGAACTATCATGCCTGCCCACAGATATGAAGTTTCAGTACCAATCTTGTACTTTCCACTTTGAGAGGGAAAAGCAGACCTCTTGGACACAGTTCGCGTAAAGATGGTGTGAGGTCTTCACAACAAAACAACCCTTCATGCTCTTCATAGGTCATTTGGTCATTGAGAACAGGGGCCTGACACACATGTCCAGTGTGAAGTGGTAGCAAACCTTGTAAACCAATTTGTTTTTGCTAGGAAAAATGATGTGTTGGTGTAGCAGCTAGATGCTCGCCTGCTGGGCCAAAGGTCTTAGGTTTAAATTCACATCGAGTTGGATTTTCTTTGTCAAAATTTACCCTGGCTCCCAGATTGACCCAGCTTAAAATGGGTACCAGTTATAGTCCTGGGAAGTAAGAATGGCCAGTGTGATGTTGACCACATAACCCTTCGAATGGTGATTAGCTTTAAAAAAAAGGGGGCCCACCCCATCATATGCCCAATATGCCATTGGTAGGAAAAATGTCCTTTACTTGACATGTAGCTGTATGTTTTTTCAGTTGATTGAGCAGGAACGGATGGAGCAGCTTGCTAAGGAGAGACAGAAAGCAATTGAGGTTGTTACCAAGGCACAGAGCGAGAGCGAAGAGTTCAGTAAGAAAACTCAAGAAAAGCTTAGAAGATCAATGGAGATTCGCAGGGAAAACCGGGAGACTCAGATTAAAGCTCTGCAGGAGCGTCTCCGAGAACATGTGAGAAAAACTGTGTTAAATGTCTGTGTGTTGGTCTTGTTTGATGTAATGTTTTGTGTCAAAGATAGTTTATCATTTCATTTACCACTGTTTTCTGTTATTCATCCTAGTTCCTTATTTATTGTCATAGTTTTCAGACCTTGGTATACAAAATGGAAATGGCTACTGTTTGAATAATAGTGAAAACAAAATATGCCAAGTAGCTCAACACAAGGAAAGGCACACGCACGCAGATACAAACAGTTCAACTTAAAATCTGTGTGTGTGTGTGTATATATATATATATATATATATATATATATATATATATATATATATATATATATATATATATATATATATATATATCACACACACAAATATCCAATGATACTGTGATGGAATATTGAAAAATCACATTCCCATATATAAGATCTTGAGTGTTTGAAGGTCACCACCACCATGATAACTAGAATCATGGAGCAGGTCACCATTATTCTTTTGCCCAGTCCATATAGCTTAAGCCTCTCACCACTAGAACGCTGGGGGGGGGGGGGGGGGGGGGGGGGGGGGGGGTGAAACGATAAAAATTGTTGGAAAATCCGTACACTTTTGTTATTTAATTTATTCAGGACACTAATAAATGTTGGAAAATCCGTACACTTTTGTTATTTCATTTATTCAGGACACTAATAAATGTTGGAAAATCCGTACACTTTTGTTATTTCATTTATTCAGGACACTAATAAATGTTAACAACATTCATTGGCCTAAATTGGGTAATTTTAAAACAAATCTATAAAGATATGTGTAAAGCAAACACAAATTGAAGCATTAAATGGAATACATTTCCTAGGGTCTGAAATATATATCGGGAAACTCATGCTGTGACCCCTCTCACCGAGTCTTGCAGGAAAAGTTGTCATTAACTTAAAAAAAATCCTTTGATTTACATTAAAATTATCTGGAATTATATTTTTAGCTAATATATTATCATGACCTAAAAGCTTGCACAGGTTCCCGAAACAGTTATAGAAACCAACCCAACGCAAAGTAAAAACCTAAAATCCTTTGTGCCGAAGGCAAGCATCAAGCCCTGGCTTTCCAAATTAATTATATACAACTGAAGTTTCAGTTAAAAACTGTGTAGGCAAAAACTGATTGTTGTAGATATGAGCTACTTGTACATATAGACTGTTTTGTTTTGCACAGTGTTGTAATTTGGTCACATCAAATGTTATGGTTGAACACACACTAGTCATATTCTAGGATTGTCTGTTATCTTCTAATGTTAATGAAAATCAATGTACAGTATGTTTGTTGTTTAGTAGTGCACGCCGTAACTGATTTCTCACATTTAGTAACATGTTATTTGTCAGACCGGTACTTAACATTAAAATTAAAACAAAGAACATCTAAGAACTTATGCTGATAATGATTTATGTTAAGAATAGTTATCCACTATCGAGTTATAGGTTGATTCTGTATTTTTTTGAAGCAACTTAAGCTTTTTATTGTAAATTGAAGAGTCTTCAGTTTCATTTCCTTGCCTAATGTAGAGACCATTCACTGACTTCCTTTGTTTATGTATCCTTTTTGTGGGTGTGTCCTAGAATCTTCTGTTTGTTTACTAGGAATGTAAGAGGCTTGGGTTGAGCTACAAATGTAGAATTAGTCAGTCTGGGGTGGGGGTAAGGTATTTCAGTTTACCGCCTGCATATTTTATTAGATCAGTTGATGTTTCATCAGTTTATGGAATTAGGAGTAAAATTAACTACTGCATTATTGGTCTTTTATTCTTCTTTCTTTGTTTTTCAAATCAGTACCATCTGTGGTGTAAGTTTTTAGTTTTGTCATTATACCTTTTTATTCTCTTGTTTCAATTTCAAAAAGTGCACTTTACCAATTTTAATTTGTCCCCTTATTTCTTCCACTTAATGGCTGTTTAATATGACTAAATTGTGATGTACATTGGCATCTGCTGCATGATAGGCAGTGTCTTTTTGTGGGGTTTTTGGTGTTTAAATATTGAAACTGAATAATTCCTCAAGAATGAATAGCATAATTGGTTTTATATATATATTTAAAAAATATGTATTTTATCTTCTTCAAATGTAATGTTAACTACAGGTATCTGTTTTGTTCTGTAGTATCCCTACCCTATTATTGGATGTTAAAAAATGTGATGCATGTTGTAAACATTGTTCCCTAAATTCATTTGGTTTTTGTTTTTTTTTCTTTCCTTGATATCTTGTCATCTGCGCCACATTGAAACCCCTGTCAATATGACGAGAAGTCCCTTAAAGTACAAGAGGTTCAGAAAGCTGGGGAAGAGATGGTAAAATCATTTGAGGCTAAAGTAGAGCAGAAACTGTCACAAAAGATGGAAACTTATGAAGTAAATCGCCAGAATCAGTTCAAGGGTATGCTATCCAAATTGCAAGAACATGTAAGTGCTTCTCATCACTTTATAAACATTTAACTTGGTGCAGACTAACGTGGTACTAACATTATGCATGAGGACAGTAAAAGTCTTTGGTAGCACTGGCTTCTAGTTTAGTTGATGGTGGAAGTATTTGGATTTGTTAATTTATTCCCAGTTTTTTTTCAGTTCTGTGATTTATGTCTGGTCTGCTTATTGCCTAAACTATTTTCTGTGAATGGCTATATGACCAGCACTACTTTAGGCTTACTTCATAACTTTCCTTATTAATCCAAACTAATGACTAACCCAGTTTGTGAAGAAGAAAACTCAACAAAAACAAAACCAAAGACAACATTTAAAGCCAGCTTATGGGTGGATGCCTGTGTGGGGGATATGGTGGGGCTCTCTGTGAACACACTGTATACTGAAGATTCTTTAGTAGTTGAAATTGTTAAAGGTAACTTATTGGCTACTGGCCTAATTAAATGGAATAGTTTGAAAAGGTACCAACAGTTTTTATGCATAGTCATAAACAGACTTGATGGAATGACATAAAAATCCATGGATCCTAGAGTGAGGGAAAAGCTGCTGGTTGAGGTGGTATCCCAGTAGAATTAATGCACATATTTTTTAATCAGTCTAGGCAACAGGGGGTGGGGGGACTGCAAACTGGAAATAATTTGTGAATAGTAAAGCAGCCAAAGAAATGTGACCCGCAGGAGTCTGGAAAATAAGTGCTACACTAGCTAATAAAGGTTCACAAGGAAGTAATCAGCAAGCTCATTCTTGTGATGTCCAAGAAGTGCCAATAAGCACCAAGGATGAACAAAGTTTCTAACCAAACAGATCCTGCAAGGAACAGAAAAATGCATTGGATCACAATATAAATTTGATTTTGTGAGCCACATTCTTCTTCTTCTTCTTCGCGTTCACCAGCTATAAACTCTGGTGAAAAGTTCTGGTTGTTCGACTCATTGAAAGGGAGTCTCTTTAGAAACATAAGAGATGATGGGGTCCTACAAATATTAATAGAGGCTAAATATGTATGAGGAGATGAAATGCAGCTACCCTTGAATTCACTGGAAATAAGAATGGGAATGTCCCAGCCTTGTCTTTTTTTTTTTTTTTTTTTTTCACCTTTTATTTTTGCTTCCTGTAGACTGAATTGCCAAGAAACAGCTATCATTGCCTATCCTTGCTACCTGCACAGTAAAACCTCATTAATACAAATTCCAGAAAGGCTGAAGAATCATGAGTTTGTTAACAAATAATGCAAAACAGGGACTTAAAATTAGTGGATCCCGGCTGGGATCTACATTTTGTTTGTGTTAGTCGAGTGATCTTCTTTTGCCCTTTCATGTTTATGAAGTTTTACTGTATTTAATTTATATTTGCTTGATGTCAGAGTGTAGTATTATGTTGAAGGCAGTAAATTATAAATGTTGTATCTGCATGTTATTTATAGTGTGCTCAGTTCTTGTTGTGTACTACAGTGGTTCCACTTTAGAAATGTACTTATTAATGGCTATTTTTTTTCTTCTTTCCAAGTTTGCTCATGAATTCTTTGCAACAATTGTAGAAAATTGTTTATTGAAAGCTTTGTTGGCTCATTTTGTGTTGCGCACCGCTTGAAAAAAATCTTTGTATATTTGTCTTTCTATTTCTAACATTCCCTGTGGACCTAACTTTGTAGTAATGTATCAGGGATATCTTGTTGTTCATTCATCACAAGAGATGGGAGACCAGTCCTTTCATCTAGTTGTGACTGGATTAGGTTTTGCGAGTGCGCAGTTGTCTAAGGCCAATTCCAGCAATGAAAGTTCTTGAGCATTGTGGACTGGGAATTGAAGCCGCATCTCTCTGGTGATTTGCTTCAGTGTCTTTCCTAGCTTGTCTTTTCTGAATTGCTGCTGCAGTTCTAGCAACTTCATGAGCCACAGCTCTTCGATAAAGAGAGGAGCGCCAGTATAAGCGGTGACATGCAGCGACTTCTCATGTTTTTGAATCACTTCGAGAAGTCTTTCAGTGAGGTCTTGAGGTTGTCCTTGAAATTTTTCTTCTGTCCACCTTGAGAGCGTTTACCTTTTAGTAACACACTGTAGAAAGTTCTTTTTGGCAGTCTGTGGTCAGGCATGCAGACCTGCCCAGCAAAATTGTGATATAGAGGCACGAAGCACACATGGTGGTACGTCTGGACTTAAAACACATGTGCAGTTGCATCTGAACTAAACCACATGTGCAGTTGCATCTGGACGAAAACACATGATTAGTACATCTTGACTAAACCACATGTGCAGTTGCATCTGGATGAAACCACATGTGCAGTTGCATCTGGATGAAACCACGTGTGCAGTTGCATCTGGACTAAACCACATGTGCAGTTGCATCTGGACTAAACCACATGTGCAGTTGCATCTGGACGAAACCACACAATTAGTTGCATCTAGACTAAACCACATGATTATTTGCATTTCGATGAAACCACATGATTAGTTGCATCTGGACGAAACCACATGATTAGTTCATCTGGACGAAACCACATCATTAGTTGCATCTGGACTAAACCACATGATTAGTTGCATCTGGACTAAACCACATGATTAGTTGCATCTGGACTAAACCACATGTGCAGTTCAATCTGGACGAAACCACACGATTAGTTGCATCTAGACTAAACCACATATGCAGTTGCATCTAGACTAAACCACATATGCAGTTGCATCTAGACTAAACCACATATGCAGTTGCATCTAGACTAAACCACATATGCAGTTGCATCTAGACTAAACCACATATGCAGTTGCATCTAGACTAAACCACATGTGCAGTTCAATCTGGACGAAACCACACGATTAGTTGCATCTAGACTAAACCACATATGCAGTTGCATCTAGACGAAACCACATGATTATTTGCATCTGGATGAAACCACATGATTAGTTGCATCTGGACTAAACCACATGTGCAGTTGCATCTGGACGAAACCACATAATTAGTTGCATCTAGACTAAACCACACAATTAGTTGCATCTAGACTAAACCACATGATTATTTGCATCTGGACGAAACCACATGATTAGTTGCATCTAGACGAAACCACATGATTATTTGCATCTGGATGAAACCACATGATTAGTTGCATCTGGACGAAACCACAGGATTAGTTGCATCTGGACGAAACCACATGATTAGTTGCATCTAGACGAAACCACATGATTAGTTGCATCTGGACGAAACCACACGATTAGTTGCATCTAGACTAAACCACATGTGCAGTTGCATCTAGACGAAACCACACAATTAGTTGCATCTAGACTAAACCACACAATTAGTTGCATCTGGACGAAACCACATGATTAGTTGCATCTAGACGAAACCACATGATTATTTGCATCTGGATGAAACCACATGATTAGTTGCATCTGGACGAAACCACAGGATTAGTTGCATCTGGACGAAACCACATGATTAGTTGCATCTAGACGAAACCACATGATTAGTTGCATCTGGACGAAACCACACGATTAGTTACATCTAGACTAAACCACATGTGCAGTTGCATCTAGACGAAACCACATGATTATTTGCATCTGGATGAAACCACATGATTAGTTGCATCTGGACAAAACCACAGGATTTGTTGCATCTGGACAAAACCACAGGATTAGTTTCATCTGGACTAAACCACATGTGGAATTGCATCAAGACTTGGACTCATACTGGTCAATACCTATCTACACTTCTCTGCAGTCATCGAGTAAACAGTTTAGCTGGAAGCCGGATCTGTTTAGACAGGATGAACATCTCCTGAGAGGCGAGGAACCAACAGTGCATCACTCTGAAACAAGACCAAAGTTCAGCATTGGACCAATAACCAGGACTTTCGGCTAGATAGAGTTCACAGCTGGGGAATGCAAAGAAGAGTGTTTCAGCAATGGTTCGTGTATTTTGACCCAGCAAAACAGTAAATGCAGTTTCATAGCAAAAACTGCTGTTGATTTGTGAAGTTTCAGGCCATGGCATGAGGTAGCTAGCTACCTTCCCTACTACCTTTACTTACCAGAAAATTGCCTGTATCCATGTCTAGGGGGCTGGATTGACCTCTTCATCGTGTGCTGTGCCGGTAAGCATAGACTCATGTTCCTCCATCTCACACAATCACCAGAACCACCATCAGTTCAGTGTTGTTTCTCCTCTCTCTCTCCCCATCTGGCCAAGCTATCCGGGTATTTATCTCTTTGACTCGCTCTCTTTCCATCAATCTTGCCAGTTGCCCAGAGTTCCAGAGTCCATTCCTTCTCATGACATGTCTAGGGGGAGAAAAAAAAAACATTTGCCTGTCTACGTCCAGTTCTAAAAAGTGTATGACTTTCATCTAAATACAAAGCTTTAGTGGTCTAAGAAAATGCACAGTGCAGAAGTCTAAAAATGTGTAAGATATATCATAGCTGAAAGCTGGTGTAAAACAGCATGTTTCTTTTAAAAACATTGTCTTGATCAATCACTAAGGAAAAATGCTTTGTTTTTCAGGCGAGTCACATCAATGAAGTGTGTCAGGCCAGTGAAAATAGAGGACAGTCAACAGATGAACTGCAGGAACAGCTTGTTCAGAAGATGGAGAATGCCCTGAGAAACCGAGAAGAGCAACTGAAAGGTTTGCAGGACAGACTGGCTGAACATGTAAGTAGTGGTTGGCACATTTTGTGGTTTAGTTTAGCTGCCACTGTACACCTTATGGCCCCACACAGCAGATTTCGGCAAATTCTTACCTAGTCGCCTTTTACAACAATCCTGTTCACTGGGTGGGTTCCAGGTCCCTATTATAGGGAAAATAAGAATAGACCCAGTGTCTACCCAAAAAGCATGTCGTGAGAGTCAACTAATTGGGAGCTTCCTTTGAAGTCAGGGTGCATCTGCCTGAGAGGCAAGGAACCAGCAGTCTGCATACAAATGAGTCACATCTGTAAAATGAATGCACACGCAACACTCAGGTTCTGGAACAGGACTGTAGTCCAGAAGTGGATGAACAACCTGAACTTTCTGCCGCAGTTCACAGCTGGTGTTAAGGGGGCAGTGGGCCTATTCTTTTTCCACCAGACTAGTTCTGGAGCCCATGTAGAGAGAAAGTACAAGGGAAAGTCGATAAACAAGTCACAAATGGTTTAAAAAGAGAACTAAAGGCGATAATTTAAAAACCGGTAATTTTTTACATTTACACTGTCCCTTTATTTTCGTTAACCTAATTTCCACCAACATTGGTACACCTGTCCCATCATTTTATCAGTCCTTCCAAATCCTGCTGCGTAGACTTGCGTGTTTTGTTTTCTAAACCACATTTTCACTTCACATTCAACTTCTGCATTTGTATATTTCCCGCCTTGTCGCGCTGTGAAGTGGATGTTCCAGAAGTTCCCACCCTAAATGGTTAATTTTCTCCTGAACTTAACCGAGCTGTATGTATGTAGTCTGGCATAGTCGTGAAGGAGCAGTACACTTCTAGTCAGAAGTCCTGGACATTTTCTTCAAATTGCATCATGAAGCATCGATAGAACTTCTTTAAGGTATGAATTTCCAAAACAGCATAACAACACAAGTTGAAGAATTATGTTTCCATTGCATTAAAGCACGCTTTGATTCGGGCTGGTAGTGATGCACCCATGATTCGTCCCCAGTAATAATCCTGTTCAGCAAGTCTTTTCCTTCATCTGCGTAACGACAGTGATGCTGCAAGGGACAGGCCTAATCAGCTCATCTTTTGTTCGTCCATCAATTGTCTGGTACCCAACTTGAGCACACTTTCTTAAATTTCAATCGATCATGCATTATATTGTGTGCCGAACCGCGTGAGCACTCTATTGCAGCTGCTACAGTCAACCGTTACTCACCTGTCACCTTTAATCATCTCCTCCACCCGCTGCACAGATGTGTCTGATGCAATCTCAACAAGACGACCAGCTCGCAGTCCGATGAAACGGGGCATCAACAATTTTAAAGCGTCCTTGTGAAATCAGCTGTGCACCATTTTTCTAGGTTTTCTAGGATGAACATTTGTCAGTATAAACTGGAAGCACATTTCCTCATGAATGTCCTTTGCAGGCAGCTTTTTTGCCCCTCCCCCTCCCCATCACCACCACGCACAACAGCATGTTGTTCTTTGAGGAGTCGCCATTATGTTTTTGTGTTGCGAATGTGCATGCAACACCTAGCGCCAACTAATGAAAGGAGACACAAAGTTCGATGTTGCTTTCGCCTAATGACAAATCCAAGCTAATCCGTCGTGATCTCCCTAAACATACTGTGTCCTTTAGCTGTTCCTTGTTTCTTTTCTCTGGCCTTGGTGGAAGTAACAATTCAAGGTTCCATCTATCTAACCAAGTTTATTTAGTTCTTATTAACTCCTTGGGAGGCAGTAGCTTGTTTGGCTGTTGTAAACTGTTCTAATTAACTCAGTCTGATGTTAAGAAAGTTCTTAGAAAGTAAAGGTGTCTGGCATGAAATTTTAAAAAAAAAAGGTACACATGCAAAAGTGTCTCCTTTATGCCTCATGTTGTGGTAAGGGGAGCCCTTAGCATTAAATATATTAACTAATGTCAACAGGTGCAAACACAGCTGATAGCATTAACTAGGTGTCTCATAAATAAACACATCCCTGTAAAAATTAAGGGTGAGTGGCATTCTTTAGGAATTGAACTCTATCGGAAGTGCCAGGTGCGAAAGGGTTAACATACTTTTTTTTTTTTTTTTAATGTGTTGATCTGTAATTAAATTTCTGAATTTTGTTTGTATATTGCAGGAAAACCGCATCAAGGAAGTTCAGAGAAAGAAACACATTTCGGAGTCTGGGGACAATACTGTCTAGTGTGTGAGCACTAAACAAAGAGACCATGATCAAGAACACAAGTAAACATTACAGGCCAGACAGCAAGTGTCAAGAAGACCAGATGATTTGACATTTTTTCAATGTTTGTTTCTAACTCAGCTGTCGGTTCTAGCATGAGGTTATTTCTTGTTAAATGTCTTGGGAATCTGAAAACTTGCCTGAAATATTCCTTTACTTGACAGCTTGTAGTACCGTTCAGTTTATCACATTTCATTAGAATTTATTTGCAAGGTCCATCTCAAATTAGATTGCAAATGTATATTTGGCATTCATTCTTACTTTACAGTTTGTGTTCAGTAATGGTTGAATGAATCGGTAGTAGGCATAATGAACTCATGACATTGCTCTGTACGCCTGAGTTCAGCATAGATGTATAAGCTATGTGAAGGACAGGAGACAGCTGTGAGAATCAGCAGGTGAACATGGTAGCATTGTCAAGGTTAGACTTGACTGATAGTTTGCACATTTGTTTTGTTATGGCTGGTTTTCCATTCCTACGGATTTCCAAATACTCCACATGGAATGAATGTTTGTGATGGTTGGTCATGTCACTGTATATTCTAGTATCCATCATATTTCTCCACTTAGGTGTTTTTGTTTTGAAATACTATTATTAGGAATTAATAGGTCTATGGGTGCCTGCAGAGAATAGAGGGACTTAATTAAGCTGAATCAAGAGGTGAGTAAAAGATGTTGGATTTGGATAAGACATTGAGAAAGACCTGATAACAAGGTAACTACAGATTTCTGGAAAAATTCAGTGGAATACAGACAGACCCAAAAAAAAAAAAACACATGGAGACAGAAATTAAAAGAGTGATGTGAAAAGGTTGGGAAGGACTTGGGGTGAGCTACACATGACAGCAAATATTGAACGACTTGGCTTGAACTGGTTAAGGGCCTTTGCTCCATTAGGCAATAAAATGCAGGAGAAAGAGAATGAATCTAAAGATGACATTTCGCTATGTATCTTCAGTCTCACTGCAGTAACTGTTTAACTCCATATTATGTGGATTTAAATATTTGTTCCTTAGGCTGTGTTTGTCAGTATTTGTACCCTTTTACATGCGATGATTAAACAGCATTAGAGATCTAAGGCTGCTGGCTGTCTCAAGGTAATATCAGTGGTAGTTTTGTTGGCTGCATCAGTGCACTAACTCGTGGTGCTTCAGGAAACGGTCCATATTGCCAGTGTTATCAAATGTTTGTCTTTCTCATCATTTTGTCAGATCACATCACATTCGTTTAGTCATCAATATCACTTTAACCCACTATGTATGGTTGATTAAATCTTTCTGAACTAGCCGTGGTTAAAGTAACAGTTGTTTAGAGATAAAGTAGTTTCCAGGAGGAGAACCATAAAACTCGCACTGTAGAAAGTTGAATGTGAAAATATTGTGCTGAAATTCTTTTTATGTGACATATACCCTGACCCAGCCGTGGTTATGGAGTAAAAGTTATGTAGAGTGGACACTCTAGAGAAGAGAATCACATCCATGGTTGTGGAGTGAAATAGAATGGACACTCTAGAGAAGAGAATCACATCCATGGTTATGGAGTGGAATGGACCCTCTAGGGAAGAGAATCACATCCATGGTTGTGGAGTGAAATAGAATGGACACACTAGAGAAGAGAATTCACATCCATGGTTGTGGAGTGAAATAGAATGGACACTCTAGAGAAGAGAATCACATCCATGGTTATTGAGTGAAATGGAATGGACCCTCTGGGGAAGAGAATCACATCCATGGTTGTGGATTGAAATGGAATGGACAGAGAAGAGAATTCACATCCATGGTTGTGGAGTGAAATAGAATGGACACTCTAGAGAAGAGAATTCACATCCATGGTTGTGGGGTGAAATAGAATGGACACTCTAGAGAAGAGAATTCACATCCATGGTTGTGGGGTGAAATAGAATGGACACTCTAGAGAAGAGAATCACATCCATGGTTATTGAGTGAAATGGAATGGGCCCTCTAGGGAAGAGAATCACATCCATGGTTGTGGATTGAAATGGAATGGACAGAGAAGAGAATTCACATCCATGGTTGTGGAGTGAAATAGAATGGACACTCTAGAGAAGAGAATTCACATCCATGGTTGTGGGGTGAAATAGAATGGACACTCTAGAGAAGAGAATTCACATCCATGGTTGTGGGGTGAAATAGAATGGACACTCTAGAGAAGAGAATTCACATCCATGGTTGTGGAGTGAAATAGAATGGACATTCGAGAGAAGAGAATTCACATCCATGGTTGTGGAGTTCAATATAATGGACACTCTAGAGAAGAGAATTCACATCTATGGTTGTGGAGTGAAATAGAATGGACACTCTAGAGAAGAGAATTCACATCTATGGTTGTGGAGTGAAATAGAATGGATCCTCTAGAGAAGAGAATTCACATCCATGGTTATGGAGTGGAATGGACACTCTAGAGAAGAGAATTCACATCCATGGTTGTGGAGTGAAATGGAATGGACCCTCTAGGGAAGAGAATCACATCCATGATTGTGGAGTGAAATGGAATGGACAGAGAAGAGAATTCACATCCATGGTTGTGGAGTGAAATAGAATGGACACTCTAGAGAAGAGAATTCACATCCATGGTTATGGAGTGAAATAGAATGGACTCTCTAGAGAAGAGAATTAACATCCATGGTTGTGGGGTGAAATAGAATAAACACTCGAGAGAAGAGAATTCACATCCATGGTTATGGAGTGAAATAGAATGGACACTCTAGAGAAGAGAATTCACATCCATGGTTGTGGAGTGAAATAGAATGGACACTCTAGAGAAGAGAATTCACATCTATGGTTGTGGAGTGAAATAGAATGGATCCTCTAGAGAAGAGAATTCACATCCATGGTTATGGAGTGGAATGGACCCTCTAGAGAAGAGAATCACATGCATGGTTATGGAGTGAAATGGAATGGATAGTGGAGAAGAGAATCGCAGCCATGGTTTCAAGTGAAATAGAAAAGCCTTTTTGAAGACGAAAATTGGCAGTCTGATTGTTTCAAGGTATTTGCTGGGAACGAAGTGTGTAGCTTGGTTGTTTAAACATTCAAATATAGCGATCATGCTTTTGTGACAGGAGAGTAGCAGGGGCCCCTTGCATGTCATATTGTCCTTGTGTTGTCAAATATACATAAACTTCGATGTACTTAAATGTAATTGGAAGTAGTTTGCACATTGTATACATTTTTCGCTTTCAGCTTCATAAATAAATGCATACAACATGCATGTTTTGGCACATGTTGCTACTGTTTCTCCATGTTAAACGTGACAACCCACATTATTCTCATTCCACAAGGGAGGATGCAATTATTCAATTGTTTTCTTTGCCATCAGAACAAATGCTGTGTCTGTCAGTATGTTAGTTACTCATTTTTCATTTTTGGCATTGTTTTGTTCTTGTTAATTAAACTAGCTGCTATGTATAAGTGGATATTATTTTGGACAAATTCTTGAAATTATCAAAATCTCATTATGGCTTGAGGTAGACTGGAAAACAAGAGCATTGTGTGAAAACAAGAAGAAATGTCTAGATGTTGTATTTTAAATATGTATTTGGTTTATTTTCTTGGCTATGCTCTCTGCTATGTTACTGTTGAAATGTGTGTTACCTTGAGAATGTTTTCGCTTTTCATAGAACTGTAAACACTAGAGTAGATATTTGTGTCATTCTATGGTGGGTGTCCGATGCATGTTCTCATTGTTGCAACACAGCTAACTCGTATTCATGTTTTATATTGATGCCAGTTTTCAGGCTTTTTTCTTTTGTAAAAAAAATTATCGCAAACAATTCATAATCATTTTTTTTTTTAAAAATTCATTATGCTGTTTAGATTTTGGCTTTTTTGAACTTTCAGCGTTGCCCAGTTTCATTGGTGGAATAAAATGTTGCAGCATATGCTTGTGTAATCTGTCTGGCATGTGTTTTAGAACTACATGTTGAGTCAAAATGTGCATTTATAGAGGGGAATGGTGGATGATGGATAAAGCTGATCCCCATCTGGATTCTGGGGCCCATTGTGGGGAAAACGAGAATCGACCCACTGTCTGCCCAAAAGCATTTCATAAGAGTTGACTGTCGGCTCTGTGGCTAAGTCAATGCGAACGCTTCGTAATCCCGGGATGCCAGGTTCAATCCCAGCTGTGTGCCATGCGCCTTGCGTTGGTTTCGACAGTGGTATCAAGAAAGCCGACCGTCCAGAAAGCAATGGCAAACTACTGGGCGTAAATTTGCCTAGAAAAACCATGCAACAGCCAGGGGCTATTGGGGTTGGTTCTGTAACGTTCTGTAAAGGATACGCAACTAACCTAAGGGTTGACTAATTGGGGAGCTTCCTTTAAAGTCAGAGTGCGTCTGCCTGAGAGGCAAGGAACCAGCAGTCTGCATTTATGTGAATCAGATCTGTAAAACTGATGCACATGCAACACTCCGGTTCTGGAGCAGGGCTGCAGTTCAGAAGTAGACAAACAACCAGAACTTTCCACCAGAGTGTAGGGCTGGTGAGCGCAATGAAGAAGAAGATAAAGCTGAAAACATTGAAACTTCACGTGGACTGTAGCAGCATCAGGGTCAAAAGTAACCCCATTTTTTGCTGCTGGGGGGGGGGGGGGGGGCTGGTTTTGTGGAACAAAGGAGCATTATTTATATTGATTTAAATGGGGAAAATATTTTCAGGATACAAGTTGTTCATCATATGAGCTCAGTCATGAAGGTTCCACTGTATTTGGTCATTGTAGATAATCTCATTTCTATAACCATAATATTGTCATGTGATTAAAGGTGTTATATTTCTGACTCACCCTGCATATGGTCATATTACCACACCAAAAATTTAAAAAATGGCTCGTTCTCAGGACAGACCTTGCAAGAATCCACACACTACTGAGGATTTGCTGGACTGGTCATCCTGAACCATTAGTTCCAAAGATAAAAATGCTGGACTAGACAATTCTTTGAT